GAGGAAGGGGAAGTAGACGGCGAGGGTGATGAGGGTGATGGTGCCGGCATCCATAGCCGAGGTGAAGGGTTGACCGGGCGTTGACCGGAGCGTTGACCAGAGGGTTGACCAAGGGTTGACCAGGCGTTGACTGAGGGTGTTGACCAAGTGTTGACTGGGGGTTGCCCGCGATGACTCGGCGTTGACCGGGGCTGCTGACCAAGATTTTGACCAAGCTGGAGTTGGTGATATCTCGTTGACCCCTCAGCCTATCCCCTTACCCTGTGGATGTGCACCTACCCCACGGTACTTGCTGAGTTGTCTGTCAACTCTTTCTGCATTGAGTCTCTTCTGTCTTAGGTGCTAGGACTCTGTGGATGAAGGATAGGGCCTTGATGCCAAACCTGCACGGGCTTAGTAGGACCAAAGCTCTACTCTGGCACTTGGAGACCTGGGCATGAGCGGCGAGCGCTCGTTAAACAACTCGTCTAGCCCAATGACCGGTACTGTCCGGCAGGTCTACTAAGTTCAGTGTAGAGGGTCTGAACTCCGGGCTGTAGGCTGAAACGAGGGCCGTCTTTAAGTGTTGAGGCCTGCCACTCCCCTACCGGACCTATTACAGCTGATGATCTGTGTCTGACGACTCGACTGTCCCGAGGGATACGAACCCCTCCAAGGACCGGTACAGACCGGCGGGCTGATCGGTGTGGCATAGTAGGCTGGAACGGCTGAGTTGTGGGCTGAAATCGCCAGGAAGAACCAAGCTGATCACGTCGTCCTGTCTGCGACATTAAAGAATTCTTGAGGAGTTACGGGGGATCTCCTTAAATGCCTCCAGATCAGCTTTGGGTTCAGTAGTGACAGCCTTAGAATAAGTCTTGGGTTAGTGACCATAGTTGACAGGGTCTTACCCTGTGGTCCTTAGGAAGTTGGTCAGTAGGTTTGTATCCGGGTAGGCCCAAGTGGTGAGGAGTGGGACCTTTGTCATGCACCTGACACCACCATGGTAGACAGCCGGCGCGGCACCTCCACTATGCCGTACACAAA